GATGGACAAAGAAAATGTACTTATATGCAATGAAGCACTATTCAGCCACAAGGGATAAATTCAGGTATTTGTAGGAAAATGCTTGAGACCATAATCCTAGAGAAATTAATCAGACATAGGTAAAATGCCACATGGTTTCTCTTTGGGAAACCCAAGTATAAATAAAGAGCAAAGTAAAACAGGAAACAGGGAGGCAGAACTTTTGCAGATGGGAAGGCCATCTAGGGATGGAGGAAGAGGGGAGCAGGAAATCAAAATGATTAAGATGTGATAAGTACATGCACCAATTCCCCAAAATATGTATTTTGTAAATAGGTACTAATAAAAACATCTTTTTTAAAAAAGCCAGGTGTGGTATATACCTATAATCCCAGGATTTGGGAAGCTGAGGCAGGAGGATCCCTGTGAGTTCAGGCCGACTTTGAGTACAAAATGAGACCCTTTCTCAAAAAGCCAAAAACCAAACCAAATGAAAAGAAAAATATTCATGGTCCTTACCACACTCCCCATGCCTTCTTCAGGAGACACAGATATTAAGGTGGACATGGAGACCATTGCCCTGCCATACTGGACTCTCTACTTGAGTCATTACTGTACTGACTGAGCTAAAGGGTCCCAATGACCATGGAAGTTAGGCTGCTGCGGCACAGTGCTAAGTTAGGCTAAAGAAAGTCCTCATACCACTAGTTTCCCTGACTCAAGTTAACAGAAACTACTAAGCTTGACTCAGGAAGGTAATGAATGGCTCAGACTCCCAGGAATGAAGCTGTGGGTTATGGCACTGGGAGAACCACAAACAGCCAGTGAGCTGCCAAGGACAGAGGTGATGCTGAGTGGGCCAGCTCTCAATGTTGGGCCGGCAAGGTGAGGCTTGGGTCTATGGCCATCTGCATCCTCACATGTGTACGAATACAGACATGTTCACATGTATCTGCAGAACAGATCCCCTTTTCCTTCCTTTCCTTCTCCCCTGATCAACTAACAGAATTAATAGTAACTACATCAGTGTCTAAGCACAAGATAGTAAGAAGTGGACACAACACATAAGGCTTCACTGTCCTCTGGACACTGGGTAGCAGCTTCTGTGTAAGTGTCCTGAGGAAGAGCCTCTGCTATATGTAGACTGTGGTCAATGTAGGATCCAGCAGACGTTATTTTTACTAAGGAGACTAAAACATGGTTTAAGGAATGTATACAGACACTAAGCTGATGAGGGGGCTGTGAAAGTCATTTTTCTCCACTTGGCTAGGATACAGTACCCAGTAAATGAAACATTAAGCCAAGTGTTGCTACAAAGGTACTTCATGGGTGTCTGGCAGCTACAATCCTTTGAATTTGAGTGAAAGATTACCCTCCATACTGTGGGCAGGACTTAGACAATCAATTAACTACAAGGTTGTATGAGCAAAGCTGAGGTTTCCAAAATCTTACCTAAAAAGTACAGACAAAGCCAGTGTGTTTGCAAGCCTTTGAAAAGGTCCAAAGTTCGGACCAGCAAGTTCCACCAATGGCACAGACCAACTTGCTGAAATGTGTATCCTCCTGGTTCTACTTCTCTGAAGACTCTGTCACAACCTTCTTTCCAAAGACCGTATCACTTTGTTTTCTGAAGTAGTTGAACCTAGTTTTCAAGTTAGGATTAAAAATTTGGAAAGCCAAGTTTGTAGTGAGAAGGCCTTCACACTGTAGTCAGTGTCTGTGTTTCAGACAGCCTATGATACACAAATAAATCTAAGCTCAGTATACAAAGGTAGTTTTTCTTCTTACAACACGTGGCACGTTAACAGTCTCAAATCATGCTTTCTTTCAGTGAACACAACACTTTGGAGATCATTTTATCTCAGAACCTGAGGTCTTTCAGAGGTTCTGAAGAGGCACTTTGTTTTTCAGGTGGGCAAATTGCTAGACCAAAGCTCATGTGTATTAGAAAACTTGACAGAGACTAGTTACTTGTTTAAGCAAACCTCTACCCAGTGAGATATCTGGGAGTGAAAGCAGCCTTACTAACAATTATTTCAGAAACAGCAGGTAAAAACTGGTAGTTTGAAAAACCAGAGAATATAATCCGCCTACTCAGGATGGACATATTTCTAATCTTCTGATGGTTCCAATTTTCAAAGAATATTTCGGCAAAATACATAATTTTGCATATTCTGCTAGTCAGATAAATTTCCAGACCTGGGGTGCCACTTACTTGGGAACTCACCTGGAAATCTAGAAGTAAAATCCATTTTTTAATTCCAATAAAAACTCCTTTCTCCTTTCAGTTTGTAATTTCACTCCTTGACCAGAAGCTTGGTTTGTACATCAGTGGAGGCTCCACTGACATCTGAGGTTAACTACGTACTGGCCTTCAGAGATGCGGACTTAGGAATACATTCTACACTGAGGACTTTTGAGCTAACATTGTCAAATTCCAAGTAGTCACACAGATAGAGCCAACAATGAATGTGGCACAACACTTTTATGGAGATCCACTAGACTGACTCTCTGAAGAGTCCACACAGAAGTACTAAACCCCAACGTGACTTCTATCCAGGTCCCTTGTGTTATCCAGAGCACTGTGGACTGTTTCCTTGTACCAACCCTTCACAGCTTGAAGCAGTTAGATCTGATCTTCACTCCTCCCCAAAAGCAATAAGGGCTATGGGGAGGGGGGTAGATTTAAATAGTTTAAGCATATGAATAAAGCACCTAGCTACAGAGGACCTGTAAGAGGTGGGTAATTAGCAATAATGGCAAGAACTAAAATAGAAGGATAGTGAATTGGGACTTGGACCAGGGATTGATTTCCTCTGGCAACATGGAATGTTAACCACTACTTACTACAAGGAGTTGCAGCCATGCCCTACTAAACTCCAGAATTTCCATAAAGTTCAAATGCAAAAGAACCAGTTTTTCTCTAGCACCCAATTCCTTTAAACCTCACATGCCTAGAAACTTGGTAAAAGTGCCTAAGTTCCTACTGGTCATTTTAAAGACAGAGCCCCATGTGATAGGTGGCTCTGAAGAATTGAGCAATTTCTGTGCTATTTATAGTTAGTTCTGGGTTGAGGGGTCATGTGGCCACCCTCTCTGAGCCTCTCCAGAAAGCTAGGGAGCCCAGTCCAAATAAAGATTTCAAGGACTGGGAAGATAGTGTGGTGGTCTAAACACCTGCCTGGCAAGTGCAAGAACCTGTGCTAGCCCCAGAACCACAGGGCACGTCATGCTGGTCACCAAAACCAGGCATGGTGGCACATGCCTGTAATCCCAGTGCTGGGGAGGCTGAGATAGGAGGATGACATCATGTCCAAACTGTGTAGCAAGACCCTGCACCAAATAAAGATTAAAAACAAACAAACAAAAAAAAACTTCAAGAGAAAAGTACTAGAACTGCTATACCAAAGGTCACGTGTATCAGAAAGCTTGGTAAGACTATAGAATTGTTGCTGGCAAGATGGCTCATGGAATAAGTGCTTCTCTGGCAAGCGCAAGGGCCTGAGTTCAATCCCCAGTTCCACCAAAAAAGACTACAGAGGGCTGGTGAGATGGCTCAGTGGTCTAAAGCACATACTCAGAACAAGCTTAGCAAAGCACAGGGACCAGGGTTCAATCCCCCAGCACCACATGCCAGACAGCCCCTGCCCCCCTGGTGGGCTGAGCTGGCCACACACAAATAAATAGATAGATAGATAGATAGATAGATAGATAGATAGATAGATAGATAGATAGATAGATAGACTACAGAATTGTTATATGTAAAGGGTATAATTTAGTAGAATAAGTTATACTACCACTAGAAGAGTAAAATAAAGCCTGTCCCACCTATCAGTCCTTCCCCATTAACTTATGACACCATTCTTCTCTTGTAATGCATTTGTGTATGACCCAGAAAAGTCAGTTTCTAGGTTTTACACAGTTTTACACTATCTTCTACGGTTTTCAGCATTTTTCTTTTTTTTTTTTTTTAAAGGTATCTGGTACGGTCTCACTACACAGCTCGGACTAGTAGTGATCCTCCTGTTTCAGCCTCTCTAGCGCTGGGATTACAGATGTGTGAAACCATGCCAGCCCTGGGTGGTTAGCTCAGTGCACCCGGGGGTGGGACCAGAGCAGCACGTGGTGCGGGATGGAACCCTGGTCCCTGTGTTTGCCTAAGCAGGCACTTAGTCTGTTATTTCATCGGCCCTAGTTTTTACAATTTTCATGTGTGCTAATTTTTCCAGATGGACTCTAGAATAATATATTTTACGTCTCAGACCAAAATAAAATAGTACCAATATTGGAAGAACGATTATATATTTCTGGTTATTACACTTTTTCCTGGAATTTCTAGATACATAATTATCTGCAAATAAAAAGAGGGGCATTTTATTTCTAAGAGACCTTGTTTCATATACCATTTCATTAGAAAAAAGTTTGTGGACATTAAGCAATAATTTAGATAACAAGAATCCCATATTTTAGTAGTACTAATATTTCAGTAGGTCACAGCAATTAGCTAGATACAGTGCTCTACAGGTAAATCACTCTGGTTCGTATGCACAGACTTTTTCTGATGTTCAGGGCCCCTGTAGCAGCGGCACATCACCTGCCTGCACAGCTCCATCATGGCACTATCCTTACCCGAATGTGGCTTCTCCACACTGCACGTGGTGATCCTAGTGACTGACTGGGAGATGTACTCAGTCCCTATGGATTGACTTACATGAATGACAAGATGTTGAAGAACGGATGAGGAAGGGATAACCTAAGTGATGGGCAGTATTCCTGAGCCTGCAAAGGCATCCTTGAGAACTGAGGTATTTTTGCCATGAAGAAGGTCCATTTTCTGTATGACAGTAAAAGGTAAAAATAATCTCCAAACCCAAACCGGTACTCACAAGAAACATCCAGTTACTCATGGAGTGGAAAAAACAATTCAGTTAATTATGGTCTTCATAAACTTTTGGAAGAAATGTGGGGGAAAAATTATATAATACTCAAACTATATTTTTAAAAAATTATTTTATTCATATTCATATATGAAAAAAATGGCTATACTATAATGTTTACATATATCCTTATATTGGAAACAATTCAGCTTTAAATCATATTTAAATTTTATAAAGAACACATAAACATTAAACAATGATTGGTTATAGAAAGCAGAATAGGAAGAAAAACCCTAAGGCATAACTTTTCTTTTATTAAAGAGCAGCATCCTATGAGAACAACTCAATTAGTAATATTCACCCACATTGCAAAATAATATGTACAAAGGAAAGTTAGTGATTGTACTGATTTTATTACTTTCACTACGCCATTTTTATCTTCTTTACACTCCATTCAAAGAAATAAAGCATGATCTGAAGAAAAGGATGTCCTCATTTGTCCTTGCCATGCAAAGGCCTGGAAGCGCTGGACAAGGCGAGCACAGTGGCTCACTGAGATCATGTGCAGTGGTGATTCGGGCCCACGAGGAGAATCTCACCTTAACTTGGGAGGCCAGACTAACTCCATGGGAGCTGTGTAGATGGAAGCACTTCCGTGGCTGCCTCCAATCTCCCTAATCAAGAAAAGAGCTTACTGAAGAAAATGCAATCATCCATCTGAAGGCTCTTTCTTTAGAAAGATGGCCCTTTCTTGAGAACCTGGATAAAAGGATGACTGTGGTCTAAGGATTGGTGGATTGATACTCTGTTGTTACAATGAGAACAAGGTACACACTGAAACCACAGTAAGATTAAGAAACTTCCACAACTTTTATCAGTTCTTCAAATAATGGAGCAAGTTCCTTTTCTAAGCTGACAATCAGTCCTAAAACAAAGAGATTAAACAGATTTATTGTTGGAAAAAAATGTTCCTGTCATTAACTTAATCACTTTTGAAAACAAAAAATTGACTTTTGTTCAACATTTAGTTACTAAAAAGTAGATGAGGTATATCAAACACTGGAGTTCTGAATAAAGTAACCAAAAATTCTATTTGCATTATACATAATTAAAAGGAAAAAGCTCTTAATTTATACCTAATTTCAAAATATGTATTAACTCCAAATCATTCAATGATTTTCACAAAAGTATATGTTTTTCTTGAACAAATTTGCATGCTATATCAAAAGACATAAAAAGGGCTGCTTCAATATTGAGAAAAGGAAATTAGAAGTTTGTTTTGTAAGTTCAATAAAACCAGGAATAGCAGCTATATATTTCACATGACAAAAACTAAAGATGAATGATAGAATATAAAACATATATGCATTGTTCAAAATAAAACTGAGTAATGAGTCTGACAGACAGATTCATCTAGAAAATAGCACATCTTGCTTGTTTACCAAAGGGAAGGTTACGTGCCTTGGTGCTTATTTTCTCTTCACACAAACATCTTCCTCTGTTTTATGGACTAGTAAAAGCATCTGCACTCTCAAGGAAAAGCACTAACATATAAGTCTACATTATTACAATATATAATAACTGATGATTTGGTATGTGATGACTGATGACGTAAAAACTGATTAATGTATATACTTAAAATACTGACATCACAACTATTCCTCAAAACAAAGTATTTTTAAATAGTATCTGATAGCTTCAAGATGTGTAGAAATGGAAGAGAACTAACAGATCATCACATCTAAACCTCTCATCTATATGCACAGATATTGGTGATATAAAGAGTTAAAAACTGTAACTAAAACACACCTGTATTGGCATTGCTGCTTGCTATGAAACTGACCACCAAAGGTAAACGGTTGAACTGAACCACCTACAAAGAAAATAAGATGTAAATACCACTATACGTTGTGAAAAGGTAATATAACTCAACAGAAACATTTAAACTTTCAAAAATTTTAATATGATTAATGTTATCAGTATAACACCCTGGTATTACATCATGGGATATAAAGGAGCCAGGAGAAAATGGCTTTATAAAGCAGACCTATCTCAAAGACATTAAGACCACTGAAGTCTCCAAGGTGAAACCGTCATCTTTTTATTTTAAAGCCCATGTGTTTTAAGACACCTGCAAACAGCCGCAGGGGACAGGGGTTTGATCCCCGGGCTTGCAGTGCCAGCCCCGCCCCTGGGGGCACACTGAGACAGCAATTGAGACTGGGAGTGGTGGCACACACCTGTAATCCCAGCACTTAGGAGGCTGTAAACAGGAGGATCACTTTGAGTCTGATCTAGTAGGGAGACCTTGAACACCCTATAGACCCTTCCCTAAAATACAGAAAAAAAAAAAAAAAGCCTATGTGTTGCTTATACTAGAGGTTAGAGGTTCAGTAAGTAGTTGGTCAACTCAAAAGAAAATAACCATAATGTCCTTGCCTTTATCTGTGGCTTTGCTTTCCAAGGATTTAGTTACCCAAGCTAAATCACAGTCTAAAAATATTATGTGAAAATTCCAGAAATAAACGATCTCTTAGTTTTAAACTGCTTGCCATTCTAATGGCATGATGGAATGTCATGCTGTGCTGCACTCTGGACAGGATCACCTTCTTCTGCCCAGGGACTCCCACAATGTACAAGCTACCAACTGCGTTAGTCATCCTCTAGCCGCCTTGCTTATCAGAGAGACTGTCATAGTACTACTGCGCATGGGTTTAATGAAGTGGCCCTTATTTTTTTTAATAGCCCAAACCCAAGAGTGAGGCTGGCAACTTAGATACGCCAAAGAAAAGCACACAGAGCTCCTTCTAAGTGAAAAGATGACAGCTATTAACAAGAAAAAAAGTCACATGTTGTGGTTGCTAAGATCTATAGCAAGTCATCACTGTTTCTTTATTTTTATTTTTGGTATTAGGGATCAAACTCCAGACCTTGTGCTTGCCAGGCAGGCACTTATGCTGCTGAGGTATCTTCCAGCCCCTTATTTTGTTTTTTGAGATAAGCTCTTGCTTTGTAGTGCAGGCTGGTCTTGAACTTACTACGTAGCCCAGAGCGGCCATGAACTTGTGGCAATCCACCTACATTAGCCTTCTGAGGGCTAGGATTGCAAGAGTGTGCCACCATATCCAGCTGTCATTATTTATTTCTACTATGCCTACCTTGTATGTTAACCTTGTCCTAAGTCTGTTTACATGAGCCTCACTGCTCTCTGCAGTTCCAGGTACCCTGGGGCACTGGGCTGAATGCCCTATGGATGAAGGACAGCTGCTGTGGTTTCATTTTCATAACTTCTCCTCTTACTGTCACTGCACTTTAAGCAATTTTAAATTTACATTAACTTTAATCACTTTAAAAATATAGCTTCAATCTCATTCATATTGGTGAAATTCTCTTCCCACAGATAGTAACCTCATTATTTATCCATGTACTTCAAACCAAATAAAAGGCTTAGCAACTATGACAAATTTTAGTAACTTATGCGACTTTCATCCATCTATCACAACAACAAAAACTGCAGGCTGAGAAATCAGCTGGTTAATCAATGGCACCATCTACTGGAATTAACAGTGATACAACTTTTGCTTATTTTTTTCTTCTGTATTTAGGACAGGGTCTACAGGGTCTCACTATGTAGATCACACTCACAGTGATTCTCCTGTTTTCAGCCTTCCAAGTGCTGGGATTACAGGCACACGTCACCATACCCAGTCTCAACAGCTGTCTCAGAGTGCCCCGGGAGATCGAACCCCAGCCGCTGCACTCTGCCTAAGCAGGTGCTTTACTCTGCTGAGCTATCAGGCTGGCCTACAGTGATACAATTTTAAGACGTGTTTTATTTTTAAATCTTTTAAGTACTCCTCTCCTCCCTAGTATAAAAATGTAAAGAACATTCCCAGTTTTAACATAACCAATTAGAAAGCTAAAAATTTAAGTTTCATGCCCTTCAAAGCAAATGCCAGTTCTTTTTATATGAAACACAAAAAGCACAGTTGGCATCAGCAAACCATCTGATAACCACGAACTAACCTGGTAGGTATTGTAGTAGCAGATGATGCTTTTATTTTTTGAAAGTCCCAGTTTGCTCCCTTGGTCTGTTGCCAGCGCAAAAGTAGACAAGAAGCCAGGCCTCAAAGCATGCTCCGGGGCATTGTCATTGGCCACTGGAAAAGAGACTCAAGTAAGAAATCCATGGAAGATAGGAAGGGAAGTTTAGAGAACCTTTTAAAACACACAAACCCATAAAAAACTGATCACAAAACTGAAGTTCAATACTAAAACCAGGCCACTAATCAAGTCTCATGAGTTTACATAAAAAAACTGCTCCCTCAGAAATTCAGTGATTGGGGCTGGGGAGATGGCTCAGTGGAATATGCGCTTCCCTGGCAAGCGCAAGGGCCTGAGTTCAATCCCCGGGTCCACAAACAAACAAAAAAAAAAAAAAAGAAAGAAAATAGAAAAAAGAAAAAAAACCACCAGAAATTCAGTGATCATAACTAAAGAAAGAAATGCTGGCTCTCACTTTTACTATTTTAATTATTTACACTGTTACCCTACTTTTTAAGTACCACAAACAAGTACCCAAAAAATCTGTGGCTGAAAAGGGTGGCAAGACAGGACAATGGACAGGGATAAATTCTAACCTGTGTGTGGAGGACCAAACCATGATTGGGACAGAATTTTCAGGTCAAAATGCACTGGGTAACAGAGTCACTGAGTTTCAATACAGTGGGTGCTGACAGTACTGGGGCTGAGTGCAGGTGACCTTTGTACTGGGTGTCATCCTGAGCCCTTTTATTTTCAGATTCTGCGAGAACTTGAACTTGTGGTCCTTCTGCCTCAGTATTCCAAAGTACCAGATTATAGGTATGCACCACCATGCCTAACTTATTTTATTTTTGAGAGAAGGTCTCACTATGCTGTCCAGGTTGGTCTCTAATTCATGGACTCAACTGGTCTTCCTGACTTTGGTTTTTATATATTCCTGATATTTACCTTAAGATACAGATAAATCAGTACATTTAATGAACAGTGTTCTGGTTATCTGAGGCCCATTCTAGAACAAAATAACAAAACCCCTAAGAATCTCCACTATCATAACACAAACAGTAGCACTCTTGTATAGAGTAATAATTCTGCAGCTGGCTACATTTTTCATGTTTTACTCATGAATTGCCAGTGAAGCTATCACAGTCCCTCCCTCGGTATAACTAGGAACACCCATTCTGATAAAAACTATGTGGAAGTACTAAAAGCAAACTGATCCATAGTACCTACGACACCACCTATTCTTAACCATAAAAAAAAGGCAAAAGATTAGGTGAGAGGAGAAATACTTCAAGGGGAGAAATTCTTCAGATTCCAATTAAAGTAACTGTGAAGTTAAAAGGTTAAAACAAAAACAAAACATCATTTTAAGTAAAGAAGCAAAACTTCGGTAATACTAAACTAACAGGTAATCTAAATATGGGTGTATGTACTACTATTTAGATCTAGAATGACCCCCAAACTCATGTGTGTAGAGGCAGGGCTTCTGGAAGAGCATCACTGGGGGTCAGACCCATCTCTCTCTGGCTCCTGGCCACCAAGATGTGAGCAGCATTCCCCTGCAGCAGGCATTATACCACGCTTGGACCAAGCCCTGCCCCTAAGTTGCAAGTGTCTGGTAGTATATCTAAGCAATGAAAAGTGACTAATTCAGGGGTTATCCCAAAACCAACAGCAACACTGACACATATGTGTACATATATAAAAATGGTTCTAATATAAATGAGAATCTCTTCTGAATCTGCTGAAATAAGTTCTATATATTCGCCTTCCACATTACTCAGATGTTAAGGAAATGCATAATTTTTAGTAAAAAGTAAACATGAGATTTGCACTTAAGTATTAGGCTTTACCTTTAATAACAGGTACTCCATCTCTATCTGATACAACAATTGCATGGAGCCCTTCAACACTGGAAAGAAGAAAAGTTAAATATTATAAAAATTTCTTTTTCTCAAAATACATACTTGGAAATCATAATAATTCTTAAGGGTATTTCTGAAAAACTACTAACCTCAATTACTGATACCTTGTCTCCTGTTATGTTTACCAAAACTCTTACAGAAACTTACTGTGAATTATTAACATTATAATCTTTATAATTCATACAATTTTTGATGAATATCTAAAATAGATTATTTGAATGAATGCCATGCTCAGTCCAGCCTACAGAGGAGGCAGTAAGCACAGTGGTCCATGCCAAAGCTTCAAAATTAGAGTGGCTTGAGTTTAAGTCCAGCTCTGCTGCTTATGCTACCTTCAGCCCAAGGTGAAACCTTGCTAAACTTCAGTTGAACAATCCAAAAATGAGAATAATTATACTTGCTTGGTTATTGAGAAATTTAACAAAATGCTTGAAAATCATAGGCTACTACAAAGTTAACATTCAAAAACATAATTAAAACAATAGTGTCAATTATGCATACTGACAATAACATAATTTATCTCTACAGTTTAAGTACTAGATTATCAGTGCAGTTAAGTACTGCAGTTTTAAGTATCTGGGAATCAGCAGTTAAGAAACACACATTACAGAGCACAAAAGTAATGTATTAAAAATTATAATGAGACAGTACCAAACTTGCATCACACACAGGCTTTTAAACTATAACACAAAACCTATTGCCCTGTAACTATAATCGGTAAAGTACAACTCAGGTATGTTTAATGCTCCACCTATAACCTAGAAGTACCCATATCACTGTGTCAGACTTAATATTTTAAATGAGGAATGAAATATATTCTTATTAACTTAAATGAAATTATATTTTAAAAATCCCATTCTCAAAAACTTTTAAATCCAAACTTTTTATTCAAATGAGTAAAAAATGTTACAAACAAAATTGGCTGATTCCTTATATTATAAAAAAGTGATGAAACAACTGGATATAAAAGATGAAAAAGTCTATTTTATACTACTATTGGCATTTTTTCCATTATCATTCAATTCTGAAATTACCTATGAATTAAAATATATTCCAGAAGATTAACATGATTACTAAAACAAACATATTCTTCTATATCAAGAATTTCATTACATAAGAATGAATCCTATAGATTATTGCACACATGTAAATCACCATGTGCAGTTATCAATATCACTTCAAATAAGAGAGCCTCCACAAAGGAAAAGTGAAGAGTCAGGACACACACAAGAAAGAGGAAAAGTCTTCATGATGCCGAGGGACTGCTTTAAAGTTATTTTCTCAAGAGAAAAAAATAAGCAGTGTTGAACACACTATGCAAAAATAGGTGATGTAACAAAACATGTAACTGAGTAGGTGTGTATATGCATGAAGCCTCTGGCAATATAACTGTGACGGTGGGCAGGACTGGATGCTGACTCTAGCATATGCTAACTTTTGCACCTCGAGCCCTACGCAAAACACAAGCAAATTAACAATAGGAATGAGCCCTACAAAAATGTTAAGAACATATACCACCAAGGGAGCTTCATTTTTCTAAAGTTCACAGTAATTGAGTAGTAACTAATGCACCATAATAGAGGTAGAAATTAAGGATTTTATTCTAAAGAGAGTATAAATTCAGAGACAGATGTCCTTGAAAATGGAATAACTACATGCTTAACCCACTTTTAGAAACCAAATCACAAATATAAAAGTTGTTTTCAATTCCATGCATAGTAGACAAAAAGTACTATGAAAGGATTTCACTATAAAATAAAAATAATGGATTAATTAGCATATTGTACTTTTATAAAGAATTAAATAACATGAAATACTCTATAACAATCTAAGGAAATAACCATTTTTAGTTAAAAAAAAAATGTATCATCAGTAATCACAGAAAACCTCATCCTGGGGCTGGGTGCAGCAAGGTGGTAGGGCAACAACAGAGGACATGCTCAGCACCACAGGGCCTAGGTTCAACCCTCAGAACAAAGCAGACCCAATCCAAAGACACCATACTCAGTCTTTTCATACACTATGAAATACCTGGTTATTTTAAAACACAATACTGGGGGCGGGCCAAATGGCTCAGCGGATTAAAGTGTGATCCCCAGGCCTGCTGTGCTGGCCCTGCCCCTGGGGCGCACTGAGATGGCAACTAAGACTGGGCGTGGTGGCATGCACCTGTAATCCCAGCTCTTGGAAGGCTATAAACAGGTGGATCACTACGAGTCTAATCTAGTAGTGAGACCCTGAACACCCTGTAGAGCTTTCCCTAAAATACAAAAAACATAAAACTAGGCATGGTGCATACACCTGTAATCTTGGCGATTTGGAAGGCTGAAACAGGAGAATCATGGCAAGTCTGAGGCCAGCCTGGTCTACATAGTAAGTTTAATTATATAGTAAGTTATCTGAACTACACAGAGAAATGGTCTCAAAATAAGGAAACAAATTTCAAAATCAAAACATAAAAAGCTGTAATTCTTAAACCCTGAAGCCTCTCTGATTCACAAGCAGTTTTTAAAAAGCAATGCTCAAAATGATCCTTAACAGAAAATTAAAAGGCATTGTTAGTATCTGTCTGGCTTGGCTGTTGTTAGGCTAGGATGCCTGTATCCACCTACATCTAGCAACAAGTCAAAAGCAAACAGGTCACTGACAGAGGAATGTCACATGATATCAACTTGCCAAGTATATAAATAAAACTGCTGTGGTAGGTCATTGCACAATTCCTTTTTTTCACACATGGAGACAGGGCTCCACCTGACCTCAGCTTTCTGTTTATGACTCTTGTCTTTACTTTTTCATCCTCCACTGCCCTTCACTCCAAGAATTTTGAAAGCTGTGCTACATGCAGCATCTTGCCAGTATGGAAAGATTTCTATTGTACTTTTCCACATACTTTAAATGAATGTATCTCTTAGATGGGCAATATCAGTGTATTTCCCTTTGTTCAAAAGATTAAAGATGTCAGAATTCAAAGAATTAGGTATTTACTTTTCAACTATTTTGAACACCACAAGAGCTATGCGGTAATAAAATGAACACAGTGAGACCTGCTTTAAAAAAAAAAAAAAAAAAAAAAAAAAAAAAA